TGATCCGGAGGCGACATGAAAGATGGGACAACTGTAAATTTTTTTCCAAAATGTTTTTATGGAGGGAGAAATTCTATGTCAACACTCATGGTTTCTCAAGAGCCAAATACTTTTCTTTCATGCTTCATGGTGGATACTTTTATCTCCCCTGCAAATTAAGGTGGGACTAATGTTATCATAAAACAAACATTTCCTTGTCTTCAAAACCACTGACAAATAGTCCAGGCTAATGAATCCCTGCCGCTCCTCAAAAACATGGTCAGCCTGTTATTTTGGAGCAGCAAAGAGAAGCAATGCCTCAAGAGCCCTGACAAAACCGAGGCCCCAAAGGCTTAAAGTTGTGACACCCTAAACGATGCCATTGGGCTCCAAGGGACTGGGACAGCTGTAACTCAAAGGAAGATTCTGTGTATGATGCTGCAGTAACTATACTTCAAGTTTTTTTTTATTGATTAAGGTATTACATATGTGTCCTTATCCCCCCATTCCCCCCCCCCCCACTCATGCCTTCACCCCCCCTAGTGTCTGTGTCCATTAGTTAGGCCTATATGCATGCATACAAGTCCTTTGGTTGATCTCTCCCTCTTCCCCCACCCTCCCCTACCTCTGAGGTTTGACAGTCAGTTCGATGCGTCTCTGGATCTGTTTTTGTCCATCAGTTTATGTTGTTCATTATATTCCACAAATGAGTAAGAGATCATGTGGTATTTATCTTTCTCTGACTGGCTTATTTCGCTTAGCATAATGCTCTCCAGGTCCATCCATGCTGTTGCAAATGGTAAGAATTCCTTCTTTTTTATGGCAGCGTAGTATTCCATCGTGTAGATGTACCATAGTTTTTTAATCCATTCATCTGCTGATGGGCACTTAGGCTGTTTCCAAATCTTAGCTACTGTAAATTGTGCTGCTATGAACATAGGGGTGCATATATCCTTTCTGATTGCTGTTTCTAGTTTCTTGGGATATATTCCTAGAAGTGGGATCATTGGGTCAAATGGGAGTTCCATTTTTAGTTTTTTGAGGAAACTCCATACTATACTTCAAGTTTTGATTCAAAAATAAATAACTCAAGAACAAAAATAAAATTCCTCTATAAAAGGAACATTTAAAAAAAAATCCAAGCCAGCCCTGGCTGGTTTGACTTAGTGGTTAGAGCATCAGCCTGCAGACAGAAGGGTCATAGGTTCGATTCCCTATCAAGGGCACATACCTGGGTTGCAGGTTCAATCCCCACCCCCAGTTGGGATGAGAGTGGGAGGCAACCAATAGCTGTGTCTCTCTCACATCCATGTTTCTCTCTCGCGCTCTCCCTTCCTCTCTCTCTCTCCCCTCCCTCCCTTCCACTTTCTCTTAAAAAAATCAATGGAAAAAATATCCTTGGGTGAGGATAATAAAATTAAATTAAATTTAAAAATCCAAGCCACACTCACTGGCTTGAAAATGTTGTAGGGTCTTAACTTTTTCCAAGTGGTTTAGAGCGAAATCAGACCCAGGAAAATCCTCTGAGGGGACTCTGGCACTTGGATTTTATTTCTGACACAATTGTTCCCACAGTTCAGCAAAAGGGTCACCACATTCCAGAATCGTATCCTGGATGTAAAATGTCCAGGAGATAACCCGAACGAGAGTGGGAGACTCCAGCAGCTTTTCTAGCCGCCTATAAATTGGTCAGAGCAGCTCTGCCTTCTGCCCACCCCAAATGCTTCTCCTAACCGTGTCTTCCTGGCATCTCCTAATGGCTGCCAGCATTGGAAACCAGTCTTACCAGTTCCTGAGCCGCCAGCCACTTTCTCTGAGTGTCTTAAGCATGGGCCTCTTTCCCCAGAGCCGCCCGCAGGGAATTGCAAGGGTGTGTGCAGGAGGGCAACTCTGCAGGCCTGGTCAGAGGTACACCTCACCCACAGGAGAAGCCACTGAGTGGTCAGGGCTCCATGAGCGCCCTGCACTCCCAGTGCCCTAAATATCAACTGGAGTTTTTAGTTCAGGTTTTGCCTCCTGGTTATTTATCTTCCCTCAGCTTCAGGCAGGTCAACCTACAGTGCTGCTGTTCCCAACTCTTTTCGAAAGGGAAAATTACTATGACTTCCCGGTGATTCATCCTGGATGCTCCCAGCCAGCAGGCCAAGCACACAAGGCTGCATGGCGCCTGCTTCCACAGCTCACTGGAATCAGTGAGCCATGAGGATGTGGGGAATACCAGGACCAGGATCTCCTGGTATGCTAACTCCTGTGTGTGTGTTGGGGGCGGGGGGGGCGGGGGGCGGGTGGTACAAAACCCAGCTGTCAAGGAATCCAGCATTCCTGGCTCTGCCTGGAATCTCTACAAAGGAAGTGAGAAGGGGAGTCCAAGACATCCAAAAACAGCTTCCACGAGATAAAATAAAGAATGCCCAATTTTTTCCTTTTTTTAATCCGCACCCAAGGATATGCTCATTAAATTTAGAGAGAGGGGAAGGAAGAAAGAGAAACATTGATGTGAGAGAGAACATTGATTGATTGCCTTCCACAGGTGCCCCGACTGGGGGTCAAACCCCACAACCTAGGTATGTGCCTCGACTGGGAATTGAACCGACAACCATTTGGTGCATGGCACAATGCTCCAACCAACTGAGGCACACTGGCCAGGACAGTTGTTTTAAAATTTTAAACATTTTTTCTTAATTACAAAATAACTGAACTATGTAGAAAAGAACAGAAATAATATAGCCAAGGCCCAGGCACACACCAATTAGTTTTAACATTTTGTCATATTTTCTTTGTCTTTTTCTTTAAAAATTTATATTTATATTTACATTTACATTTACATTTATACTAGTGGCCCAGTGCACGGATTCGTGCACATTGAAAGGAAATTAATTAGAAGAAATATTTTAATATTGCTATTCACCCTTTCTCTATAATAGAAATGTCAACAAAAACAACCAAATTCACGATCGACAATGACCGATCAAAACACACGTGTGCAATTGGCGCCAGCGAGAGCTTTATATGTATCGTGCGTGTGCGAATCAATGTTTATTTTTAAATTGCCAGTGCGCATCATATGTACTGGCTGGTCGGTTGGTCAGACAGTCAAACGGACAGATGGACAGTTGGTCACTTAGCCTTTTATATATATAGATTCATATTCATATTCATATAATATATATACACAATATAATATCTATATATATAAAAAGCCAGTGACCGGAATGCTATAACGGCTGGAACGACCGGTCACTATGACGCCCACTGAAGCCAGCAAACCAGCTGATGGGGGGGGTAGGGCTGGCCGGCCAACCCCCCAGAAGCCCCTTCCCCTGCTGGCCCTGCCCCTGATCGCCCCCAGCCCCACCCCAATAGGGCCAGGGCCAGCCGGCCAACCTCCTGCAGCCCCTCCTCCCACCTGGCCCCATCCCAGATAGGCCCCTTTCACACCAATTGGGGGTGGGGCTGACCAGCCAACCTCCCACGGCCCCTCCCCCAGCTGCTGACCCCCCACACCCCAATTGGGGGCATGGCCTGACGGCCAATCTCCCTCGGCCCCTCCCCGCAGCCAGCCCAGCCCTGATGGCCCTGGGGTGGGCCGGCCCCAGCTCAGTCCCCACAGGACAGTGCTGTTTATTTTTCCTAGTCCCTTGTGCGTGGTTGGTAATCTAGATCAGGCTCAGCTGTTGCAACTGACACTGTCACATGAATTCCCTGCTCCATCTCACATCCCGGCCTCCAAGGCTGGCTGGCCACTTTGCGAATGCAGCCACTTCCAAATCCTTGAGCTGCAGCCTCTGCCTCCCTCCCTTCCTGAGCCCCACCCTCCCCTTCATGTCCCCTGTCTCAGGCTGTTCACAGGCATAATTTGGCTCTAATTCCACATCCTAAGCATTTCTATGAATATAGGCTTTGTGGACTGTTGGTTCATGTGATATTAATCCCAGAGGGGAATCGAAGCAGCGTAGAGGCCATTGCCCTTGTTTGCTTGGATTGTCTGCTGTAAATGCTCACGGCAGCCTGGGAGTTGAGAACCTTCTTGAATGAGCCTGGGACGGGGAGTAAGTGGGCAGAGAGGAGTCAAATCATCTCCCTGAGATGCATGGCCATCAGAGGAGGAGAAAGGCCTATTGCGATGTCTGATTCCACACCTCAGCCACGCGGAGCATCAGGATCTTGCACAAAGCCTGGTCCCCAGAGCTGGGCCGGAGAAGGTACACTCTGCCATGCACAGCGGGAGCCATGAAGCTCCTTCTGCTACTTTCCTGAAGCACCGGGTCACTGATTTCCCCCAGTTCTGGTGTCCAAACGCTCGAGGGTTCTCTTTGTAGCCCTGTAGCTGAACAAGCCTATGTTGCTGAAAATGAAAATAAGAACAATCAGCACTTCTCCTTTCAGGGGGTGAGTATGCAGGGGCATCCCAGAGCCCAAGGCTTAACAAACACCATGCATGTTGCATTTCCAAGGAGGTCCCAAAGCTGGGGGTTAGTGGATGGCAATATTTCAGGAGGGGAACACCCATGGGCAGGCAGTCAGACCCCTTCCCCTCCTCACCCCAGCCCCAGAAATGTGTTCCTTATTAGGCTTGAGAAACACAAGTCGTGCACTGGTGCTTGTGGAGCAGCCTTTCCCAGCCACCACGCAGGCCACGGGGCTGTGCCTGGCTGCTCCCTTGACTTTCCTGGGAAGGAAATGGACTCTGAGGAGGTAACACTGTGACGGGAACTGAAACTGGACCACTTCTTTCTCACACCCTGTTCACTTACAAGCACACACACTCATACCCATGCCGCACACACCCTCCAGAGCGTGATTCACCCGCTCGAGGTGGTTGGACCAGGTCCCGCTTCCCCCTGCGAACGCCGTTTGGCATACAAGCTGCCCTCTGCAGTGTGGCTGGCCGGTGGGCAGGGTGGTGCTTGCGCGAACCTGCTTTTAATCAAATCCAGTCTTGCCATCCGAAGAGCAGACAGCCACGGGGAACAGGAGTCTCCCTACCTGGCCACGGGGCACACTCGTTTTGTCTCCTCTGGGCCACTGGCAGATGGAGGCCCCGGCAGGTGAGAGAGCGGCTTCTGGAAGCACAGAAACTGGCGGCAGTGGACTAGGCAGCAGCACAGACCCTCCACATCCCCAGCAGAGAGCCAGGAGGTCTGGGAGACAGCTTAGCATTCTCAGGAAGGACTATTCCAGGAGCCAGACAGTTTCCCCAGGGCAGCAGGGCAACCGTGGGGAGCAGGGCTGTGAACTCTGCTTCCGATTGCCAGGAGGACTGACCCTGGGTCTCTGCCGGCCCAGCACAGGGAGCAGAGAGAGAGAAAGGGCTGCAGGCAGGGGAGCAGCTCTTACTGGACTTCAAGACAGACAGCGGCCTTACAGAGATGTCCTTGAGAGCACACTTACCCTAAAAGGGAGGTAGGGGATGGAAGGGAGGGAGGGGAGGAAAAAAGGAAACCTTCGTTAATAACTAAGCTATCCAAGAAGGATCATATCAAGATGTCTTTTTTTAAGAAACAGTAATAAGGATACCAACCAGATTGCCTTCTCGTCAAGCCCTACTCATCCCCAAATCAAATCCCTTGCTTTCCCTTTGCCAATTCTTAAAATCTTTAATTTTTTGCTCAGGCATCAGTAACTCTTACAAGGTGTATTCTGAATCTTATCTTAGTCCTTAACCATGCCTGAGGGTGAGTGGTTGGGAGCCAGCTCTGTCCACATTGAGCAACTGATTGTCACCAACTTGGGCTGAGACCTGTTTCTCTAAGCCTGTGGAGGGAAAGATGCCTGGTGTGTGACGGTCATCAAGTTCCCAGCCCGTGGCCTAAGGGGCTCTGGGGCTCCTGAAGCAACTGGAAGGAGTCCTGGAAGCCAAATTCCCACCAAATATCTTCTAAAGCAATCCATCCAATATGGTATCCATTAGCCACATGTGGCTATTGAGCACTTGACATGAGGCCATTGTGATATGCTGAAGTATAAAATATACAATAGATTTTGAAGATTTTGTATGAAAAAAAGAATGTAAACTATCTTATCAATACGTTTTTAATATCAATCATATGTGAACTGATATTACTCTGGTACTATTGGGTTAAATGTGATATATTATTAAAATTATTCTCACTTGTTCTTTTTTTATTGCGGTAAAGTACACATAACATAAAATTTACCATCTTCACCATTTCTAAGTGTAATGTTAATTACATTCACATTTTTGTGCAACAGTCACCACCATGCATCTCCAGAACTTTGTCTTCCCAAATTGAAATTCTGTACCCATTAAATACTAACCCCATCTCCACCCCAACTCCAGTCCCGGGCAACCACCATTCTAGTTTCTCTCTATGAATTTGACTACTCAAGGTACTCATATAAGTGAAGTCTTGCAATATTTGTCCTTTTGTGGCTGGCTGATTTTATTTAGCATAATGTCCTTTAGGCTCATCCATATGTCAGAATTTCCTTCCTTTCTAAGGTTGAGTCATATTCCCTTGTATGTATATACCATATTTTGTTTATCCATTTACCTGTTGTTGAACAGTTGGGTTGCGTCCAACTTTTGACTATTGTGTATAATGCTGCTATGAATATGAGTGTACAAATATATCTTCAAGACCCTGCTTCTAAATTTCCAGAAGTGGAATTTCTGGGTCATATGGTGGTTCTATTTTTAATTTTTCAAAGAACTGCCATACTATTTTCCATAGCAGCTGCACTATTTTACAATGCCCAAGGATTCTGATTTTCCACATCCTTGCCAACACTTGTTAGTTTCTGGGTTTTTTATTTCTTGATAGTTGCCATCCTAATGGTTGTGAGGTAGTATTTCACTGAGGTTTTAATTTGCATTTTTCATAATGATTAGTGATGTTAAGCATCTCTTCATTGGCCATTATATCTTCTATGAAGAATCATGTTTTCTTTCAGTTTTTTTTAATGTGGCTACTAGAAAATTTAGCTACATATATGGTTCACATTTCATTTCTACTGGGTAGCTCTAGTCTAGAATGAATAAAGGCACAACTATCACACAGGAATGTTTTGACAATGAAAGGAACCCTGATATTTGAAATGAAGAGAACCTTGTTCTAATTAATGATCTCTAAGTTTCTTTCCAGTGATCATGTTTTATGATCTCTTTCTCTCTCTGCCCTAAGAACTTAAACTGGAGCTTTTATGTCAAAGAAGAGGATACCAGGAGCCATTCTCCCTTACAGTGAGGTGTCCCCTACATACAACCTGGGAGATCCAGAGAGTGGGGGGCCCTCTTGTCTCTGCAGAGTGCCAGCTCCCATGATTGGTGTGTTGGGGGGAGGGGTATCAGTGGATGCCCTGAACTGAGTATAGGAAGCATCCATGTCAGAAAATTCTGCTGGTAAAATTTTGCACCATCTGAGAGAAGAATGCCTAGGGTTGGAGATAGAAAATGCCATCTCTGTGGAAACATCAACACTACTGATAGCTTCCTATAACAGACACTAATCCTGTTCCAAGGGAGGGACTGGTGCCACCAGAATCTGGTCCTTTTGTTTTAGGGGTGGAGACTCTAAGTTTGTCCCACTGGGACACATGCATTCCTTGATTCTACAGCCATCCCACCCACAGAGGCTGCTACCAATAGATCCCTGGGAGTCATAAATGGTATCTAGTAGCAGACAGTCATCTCTTCCCACCATTGAACAGTGATAAGAAAAGGGTGGTCTCCAAAATACTGCTACTTTTCATAAATGTCCCTATGTTCCCTGAGGGCACAGTATTACTAGCCCAGATTCCCTTCCTGTTATCTTACTAAAAATCTCACAAAGGCATGGCCCACCCACCAGGAAGGGGTTGAGCCCACAAATGCTGTGGCCTATGGCTTAATTTAAAAGGGAAAAAAAAAGAAGAAATGTTGTGAAAAAAGCAAGAACTATGGTGGGGTCTATTATTTCTTCTTTCTAACTAAAAGGAATAGTTTAAAGCATGTCTACCTTAAACAATAGTTATTAATATGGTTTTAAAAGAAAATAATGGCAATATTTTAATGCCAGATAACAAGATGGAGACCAGGGGAGAATTAAGAATTAAGTTCAAATATTAGGACCTGGTCACCTATTATGAAAAGATACTGTAAAGAATAATACTAGAGAAAATATGTTAATGTGCTGGAGGAAATGCTGTGTAAACACAAGGCTTTATAATTTATGCATTAAATGCAGCTTATATAAATTATCTTCGCTTATCTAGATTTTTATAAATACAGAGAGATTTGATAACTTGGTAATAATGGCAACAAAGACCTAGACATTTCCTTTTATACCCAAAGTTCCTAATATCCCTGTAGTATAGTCCTCTAATCTCTATTATGTCAGTTTCCTTATCTGAAAAATTAAATTAAAAGTTGAGAATCATAAAAATGATTATTATGAAAGAACATATAGTTCATTATGCAAGACTTCCTAAGTGGGAGACTAAGAAAACAGTGATTTTCATAGAAAGAAATGAAAACCTATACAGGCCTGTGAAAGACAAAAGACAGGCTTTCCCACCCAATCCGCCAGTGGAGATCATTTTTTAGGAGGCTTACAGGGAAGCTGTGGTGTAATATGCTTCGTAAAGTTCATATTTAACGTACAGAACCTTTTCTCTAAAATAAGTGGCATGAGGGTACGAGAGAGTTCACCAAAGAAAACAGAAAATAATACTGGAACCTCTGCTATTATGTGAAGAAAGTTTCCTGTAAGTAGCAGCCTAGTTCCTGGAGAGGAAAAAGGTGTGTATGTACGTATGTTTTTAGCTTCATAATCATAAAACTCTAAGGTACTGTGTGCTTCTCTCCGTCTTTCCTTTCTTCCTTCCAAAAAAGGGGAAAGCATGGATGCAAGCAGCGCCTCCTCAGAAATCTGTAGGCTTCTGCCTCCAGTTCTGCCCGAGTTATTGAACCAGCTGGCGAGGGCTGCAGAAGCCATTCTCCTAGCATCGAAGGCACCTCGGGCCTGAAGCAGGTGTGGTGGCGACACAGGTGGTTTGTTTTGCAGGGTCAAGTTGGCACATTTCTAGCCTAGGGCTCTGCATAAATGTTTAGATTTTGTTTTCAGCCCCACGGTGTTCAACTCGTCAGCGTGAAAGGAGGCCCCTGCATGCTACCCTGCTACATCCTTTGTCTCCTCTCATGGCCTGGTGCGGAGTCAAGAGGTGAGAGGAGAGGAGAAGGGAGGGGTGGGAGGGGCCAGGAGAGGACCGGAGGAGCGAGGATATTTTGCAGCGGTTTCAGCAATCCCCAAGAACTACTTTCCAGGCTCATCAAATTCCTCCCCTTCTCTCTTCTCTGGGCTTGCCCTGCACCAGCAGTGGGAATCATGCTTGTTTACACCGCTCATTATGCTGGCTTTGCAGTTGCTATAGCAACCACCAGGGGTCAGTTTATAGAAGGAGAGGAAGTTCACTTTGGGGGAGTTAGCTTTCCAGCTTCTGTGCAAAGCACAGCTGAAAACAAAAGACCCAGACACTAAGGAGGAAACACATTGAAAAGTTTCCTATGAGCAGAAGCATCGTTCAGAGCATAAAACTTCACTCAGCAATGCCACATTTTTTCCTTCCTGAAAGAGCTGTTCTAGAACCGCAGATAGGAGAGGAAAGGTCTTAAGATTGCATCTTCCAGATTTTCCTCTCTCCCGTCCTCTCACCCCTTTGCCTTGCCTTTAAGATCTGTAAGCAGTTGCTAGTAGTTAAGATAATAAGGGCAGCTACCAGGGTTCATTTAAGGTGATAACGTCCTACATATAATGTATTAACTAAGGGTCACAAAGATCTTTGTGAACTATTACTACTTGCATCTTTTTCATGGGGAGGGAGGAAGCAGGCCTTTGGAACACAACGCCTTTCTCAAGGTCCGAGCCAAACAAAATGGAGCCACCACACCCTCAAGGAGGGTTCTGGGACACCCCCCAGGATGCCTCTGGGGTAAAGATGTCCAGCTCTAACCTGACCAGCTCATCTGAATTAGCAAATAAAAAATACAGGAAGCCCAATTAAATTTGATTTCAGATAAACGATGAATGGATTTTTGTGTAAGTGTATCCCACACAATCTTTGGGACATACATATGGTAAGTCTAACTTAACCGAACCCTATCCTAACCCACCTCCTCACTACCACTGCCTCCAAAAAAAGTACAACAGGTGAATTCTCTCTCCAAAACAAAGTGCCAGATTACTGTTTCGGACAGTGATGGCGAACCTTTTGAGCTCGGCGTGTCAGCATTTTGAAAAACCCTAACTTAACTCTGGTGCCGTGTCACATATAGAAATTTTTTGATATTTGCAACCATAGTAAAAGAAAGACTTATATTTTTGATATTTATTTTATATATTTATATGCCATTTAACAAAGAAAAATCAACCAAAAAAAATGAGTTCGAGTATAACCTCTGACATGCATGTCATAGGTTCGCCATCACTGGTTTAGGATAATCTAACCCTTGGACTATCCTGCTGATGATGAAAAAAATGAAGGGCTGTGTGTGTGTGTTTTTTTTACATATGCAAATACAGTGGGGCCTTGACTTATGAGTTTAATTCGTTCTGAGACCGAGCTCGTTAAGGAGCTCGTTAACTCAAATTACTCTATCAACTCAATGCAAAAAATTGGCCTAGAGACAGCTGGTATCTCAAAAAACTCGTTAGTCGGGACACTTGTAAGTGAACTTACCAACAGGCAGGTGAGTTTCCTGATCTTAGATCCAAACACCAGCTTAAGAGACATGGGGGTTAAAGAGAAAAGAATTCAGTACTGGGCTTTGTGAGGTATCTACTACTTTTTCAATAACAGCAAAAGTCAACTTTCTAAAGAATAATGATGGCTAATATCCAAAATATATAAAGAACTCATATAACTCAATGGCAAAAACACAGACACAAAAAAAAAACCCAATCCAATTTAAAAATGAGCAAAAGATCTAAATACACATTTTCCAAAGAAGACATACAAATGGCCAACAGGTACATTAAAAAAGTGCTCAGTATCCCTTGTTATAAGGAAAATGCAAATCAAAACCACAATAAAATATCATCTCACACCTTTCAGAATAGCTTTTATCAAAAAGACAGGAAATAAATGTCAGGGAGGATATGGAGAAAAAGGAACCCTTGTTCACTGTTGGTGGGATTATAAATCGTGCAGCCATTATGTAAACCAGTATGGAGGTTCTCCAGAAATTAAAAATAGAGCTGCCACTTGACCCAGCAATTCCAAGTTATCTAATATATATATACATATATTATTTAGCCATAAAAAATAATAAAATCTTGCCTTTGCAACAGCATAAAGGACCTTGAGGGCATGATGCTCAGTGAAATAAGTTAGACAGAGAAGGACAAATTGTGATAAAAAAAATATTAAAAAGCTTATAGATACAGAGAACAGATAGGTAGCTGCCAGAGGCAGGGATGGGAGGGTGGAAAAAATAATGGGTAAAGGAGGTCAAAAGGTAAACAATAAATAAGTAAACTTTTAAAAGTAAAGTTTTTTAAAAAGACTTGTTAATCTGGCCCATTGCAAATTGTCTTCTCACAGTAAATTACTCTTCCTTAGCCCAACCCCATTTGCTGAATCTCTTCTATTAAATTTCCCTTAAGAACCCAGAGTTTATATTTTCAGAGAGATGTAATTTACACAAAAGAAAAATCACAGCTATTAACTTTAAAAATAGTAATTTTATTTCTTTAACAGGAAAACCATTTTAATGCACTTTTTAAATATATTTTATTGATTTTTTACAGAGAGGAAGGGAGAGGGATAGAGAGTTAGAAACATCGATGAGAGAGACACATCGATCAGCTACCTCCTGCACACCCCCTACTGGGGATATGCCCGCAACCAAGGTACATGCCCTTGACCGGAATCGAACCTGGGACCTTTGAATCCGCAGGCCGACGCTCCATCCACTGAGCCAAACCGGTCAGGGCTTAATGCACTTTTTAAGAGAAATAAATAGCATTTGTTTTTTAGTGAGTGTTACATTGGGAGAGTAGAGAAAAAGTCCAGTGGAGCCAGTGTATTGTCTCCACCATTGGTTCTTTGTGGTTTTGGTGCCTGTACACACATGTGCACGGGGAGAAAAGTACATTTGCACTTTCATAGTCACACTCTTTCAGCATGCCTTTTGCTGTTTTGTCAGCAAGAGAAACCTGGCTCAGTGCAAGTGTTCCTGAATTCTGTAGAACTTACAGGAGACATAGGCCTCTAGTTGTAATGCGGTAGGTAACCTGTGGCAGCTTTACATCTGTTTCGACCCTAAATTCATGTACCCCAAACTTAAGGCAAATAACTCAAGAAGCATAAATTTATATGAAAACAAAGCAAATAGTTGCAATAATAAGTTCTATAAGATCCCTGACATCTCAGACTGTAAGGGTTCCCACAGCTCTAATCAAAACAGGCAATTAAAGGAAAACTGTCAAGATAAACATCCTGTATAATAAAAATGTTCTCACCTGTTACTAACTCTAAAAATCTCAGCACAGTTTTCACCAAGACAAAAAAAAATGGCTGTTATTGTAGAAGCTGGTATTTCAAGTCTGGAGGTGTGAGTTCTAATTTTGTCTCTTTTACTTCTAGGGACCCCATGAAAGTCTGTGGGCAGTCTATGACTTAGGCAGATGCTGGATCAGTATAAAGTGCTCCTTGCAGAACTGAAGGGGTATTATGAGAATATAAGTCACTCTGAGCTATCCCCACAAAAGGTAGGAAGGATGAGATGTGATTATTTGAGCTATTCTCTTTTTAAACAAGCAATTTCATTTAGAAGTTGGAATTTGTTAATTTTGTTTAAAGCACTTTGAAAGCACTTAATTTTTGAAATCTTATTTTCATTTGTTTAAAAAACCAATAGTTCATTTTCTCTCTTAATCATTTGTTAATAAACCGATCATTTGAAGCTCAAGCTGTCAGACAGTCTCTTAAGCACCATTCAACAGCTGTTAAATGGGATAATCACCTGTTTATCCTCATGCCACTAATTCAGATGCTAATTGCACTCTAGATTCTGCCTTATTCTCTCACTCAAGCCAACCAGGTGCGCAGCACTGTGAAAGGATGCTACTGCAAACAAGGGCCTGTCTGTTCACTTCTAGAGACACAGATGAACCAAGCCCCCCCCCCCGTCCCCCCCGCCACACACACACACACACACACACACACACACACACAAGAATGAATGGACATGTTGCTTATAACTGTGAAAAAATTGAAATGACCTAAATGTCAACTTATAATGAAATAAACCAAAATAAACAACCATGGACTGTAGTATTTAACAATCATTAAAAGATGCTTATAAATATGGTTAAATAACATGTAAAAAAATTTATGTTGAGTGGGAAAACAAGTAAAACCCAAAACTACTGTATGGTTGCAAATATAGAGAAAAAATTTTGCATAAAAAAGGGCAGAGAATGCATGATGGTCTTGGAACTAAAATCAATCACTATTTAGAGAACTAAGAGCAAGGACAATCCTAGGGGCTGAAAATCCATAAGTTCCTGTTTTCATGGAGCTTGCATTCTGGAAGAAAAAGACAAAATTCAAGTAAAGAAATTAGTAAACAAGATGTATTCATAGAGCGATGTCCTAAGAAAATTTACAAAGAGTTATAAGACAGAAGGATCAGAGGGTCTGCTTTAACTTGTAAAGGAGAAGACCTCAGAAAACACATAGACAATAAGCCCCAGTGGAAGTCCCAAGACTTGAGTGGGCTTGGCACGATCAAGGAGTTAGCAGGTCACAGCCAGTAAGCCAGGAAGAGTCAGGCAGAAGATGAGTTTGGAGAGATGGGCAGGAGCGAGGTCATGCAGAAGGAAAGGTGCTGAGGTGGAAAAAGAGAGACCGGTTAGTAGTTACTTACTGCAGGGGCCCTGGTGGAAGAAATGGGCACATGGACTGAAATGGGTGACCATGGAGGTGGAAAGGAGCAGACGGATTCAGACAATATTTTGAAGGTAGAGCTGGCATGAACTGCTGATGAACCAAATTGGGTGGGGGGCAGAGGTACTGAATACAGTAAAAAAAAGAATTTCATATGACTCCTAGATTTTTGGCCTCAACAAGTGAATCAACTATAGGCCAAGAAAGAGCAGTGGTGTGGTGGAAAATTGAGAGCTGCATTTTGGTCATTTTAGGTTGAAATGTGTATTAGATATCCCAATGAAGATGTCAAGAAAGTAGTCAAGTAGCTGTCACGGAAGAGTGAGTCACAGGTATTCATTTGGGATTATTTGAGTGTTGTTCTCAAGACTAAAATCTAGAGATTGGGCTCAAGAGGAGGAGCCAGAAAAAAAGATGACCAGTGAGTGAGAAGGAACATGGTGTGCCAAAACCAAAGGGAAAAAAGAATTATTTTAAGAAAAAGGGAATTATCAACTGTTTCCAAAGTTACTGAAAGTTTGAGACTTAGTAAAGTGAAGTTTCCCTGTTTTGGCAGCAAGGTGACCCTTACAAGATCAAGTTCAGTGGAGAGGTAAGAATGGGAAGGATGGAGGTGAGGTAGTGGGTTACAGTGGGACCATGGACAACACTATTGAGTCCCTGGAAGTAGAGCAGAGAAATGGGCAGGGCTGGAGTTGTGCTGATGGATCAAGGGAAGGCAGTTTTGGGACTGATTTTCAATATTAGATATCTTCAGGTTGTAAAGTCCATTCCAGTCATTACATGGCTATTTCAACACAGTAATTTTATAACTAATTTGGATTAAACAACATTATGGGTGTATATATTATTAATTAAACTAGAGGCCCAGTGCACGGATTTGTGCACCTGTTGGGGGTCCCTCAGCCTGGACTGCGCCCTCTTGCAATCCGGGAACCCTCGGGGGAGGTAGCAGTGCATGAAGCGGCAGGCGATTGGGGAGGAGCCCGAGCCAGGCCAGTCACCACCGCTCCCACTCATCTCAGCCCTGTTGCACCTGCTGCTGCCACTCGCTGCTTTGTAGCGCTGCCATGGAAGTGGGAAAGGCTCTCGCTGCCGCAGCTGTACTCACCAGCTGTGAGCCTGGCTTCTGACTGAGCGGCGCTGCTGTTGTAGGAGTGCACAGACCACCAGGGGGCAGCTCCTGCACTGAGTGTCTGCCCCCTGATGGTCAGTGCGCATCACAGCAACTGGTCAACCAGTCATTCTGGTCATTCGGTTGTAACAGTAGCTTAGGCTTTTATATATAGAGATTGAAAACATTGAAGTGATAAAAAATTTTGAATATTCTAATTTACCCTAAAATTTTTTTAAGTACTTACATTATTTCTTAGTCCTCTGTGAGAGAGATATGGAAATAAATTTAAATAAATGGATGGAGCCTAGAACTAGAAAAAAGTTTACAGAGAGCAAATCATGGAATGTGTAATTTCCTCTAAGAATAAAGAAGTTGATAACAATAATATATTTAATTATAAAACCAAAATGGATTTAACATCTATTAAATTAATTTAATGTTCATCTATGACCAGTTTAAAGAATTTTAAAGGAATGTTTAAAATAAATGATATGATTTTTCTAGCCATTGCAAACTAGTTTTTTTTTTAAGATAAAATATTGATTGTATTTTTCAGGCAGGTAGCCATGTTTTATTTTCTTTCTAGACACTAATGGCTTATAAGTGAAATTAAATATTTCAAAAATGTCTTAATTATTAGAATGGTATAATATTTTTTAAATTCACCTTAAAATGAACGCATCTGAGCTATATTCCTTTCTGAGAATTAGAGACCTATCTACACGATGTAATTATTTCAATCAAGTATCCCCTGCATGTCCACCTACCTATATTCATCCTTTGCCAAGGGCTGTAGAATCCTGACTGGCATAGGAATTAAGAGCAGGAAGAATTTATGCTTCTGTATGAGGCAGTTTGAAGTATTTCTAAAAGCACAAGATTTGTCAAAGATCATCTAGAACAAACATGTCAAACTCATGGCCCGTAGAATGTCATTCCTGCTCATTCCACTTAGTTGTGTGATTTGGGCCAGCTACTCACCTTTCTGTGCCTTGGTTTAATTCTGACAACAGGGAAATTATAATACCTAACACTTCAAAGTTGCATAGGGATTAAATGAGATAATATATAAAAAGCTTCTTTCTAGCCAGTGCCAGGGAGATTGGAATATTCTCACTAAATGCTGGGACTCTTGCCTTATCCCTAAGGTAAATGTAGTCCAGGCTCTAATACCCTCTGTGCATTGAGGGGACAGTGCTTGGCACATAGACAGCATTCCATAAACATTTAGAAAGTGATGAGTTAATTAACTGGCTAATGAATTAATGCAACCAATGATTCTGCATAAAAGAACAGCAAAATCAGAACGCTTTATTTCTGCAAAGGTTTTACAGTTGTGTCTAGAGGACCACGTATTGCACAAAGAGAAATGGAAGCTGAACAGGGCAAGGGTTATGAGCTGAGGGGGCAGTGGGGGATGTTTCTCACTTCATTTTCAACCTATTTGTTCTTTCATCCAACTTGTTTCCAACCAGTGATCTAGGCTTGTTTGTTGACTGCCCATTGCAGTCTCTAAAAAGAGCAGCCCAGTATACCATAGGATTCCTACCTTACCCCCCACCACCCTTGGATTGGGCAAGTTGAAAAGCTGGCTAATCAGCATTTGCCTCAAAATTTGGAACTGAAAGATGCAAACACAATTGGCAGATGATGATGGACACTGTGGCTGGAAAGTCAAGGTTGGGGCATTAGCAAGCCATGTTCACAACAAGTAAACGAAAGAAGCAGGTGGAAAGGAAATTGAGAGCAGATGTGTAAGGAAAAGCAAAGATGAGGGGCCATGTAGCTCCTAAGAGGCAGATGGAAGGAGAGCTGGACCAGGGTCAAAGTTGATCCAGATCCTGGTATTTGTTCCTGAGCTCTGGAGACCCTCAGCATTTACACCGGCTGAATGTCCTCTCCTTTAGACTGACATTAACCTGTGACGTTGCTGTTGGGTCAGCAGGGCAGTCTACACTGTGAATTGGAATGTTCTCTGCAACATCGTCTGGCCTGTAGGAAACCTTGCCGCAAACCATCTGAGGTGTATTGTTATACAATGAGATGGGGGAACAAAGCTAGAGTTGACCCTTCAGATACTGAGTCCCAACTCATTCATATTGTTTCATCATGAGTTAAAAAGTCTGAGCCCCGAGGTACACAAGAAAGCACAGCTAGACTTCTAAACTGCTCCTTACATGGCTATGTTTTTGCACATTCTTACTGGATTTCTGGGTGTCAGTCTATAATAGCCCAAACCTGGATCATAGTGGTCATGCCATCCTTTTCTCATGACTTGTTCTCACAGTGTGTTGTATTCATTTCTCACATCCATTAAAGTCTTAAAAACATGCAAGTTATTTACTGAGAGAATTAATGCACCGTGTGCCAAAAACAAAATTCCTTCTTATGATATTGAGTCAAAGAAAAAGCTGATTGTCTTTATTGCTGTTATTTAATATAAATGCAAATATCTCTAAAGAAAGAAAGCCTGGTACAAACTATATTAACTTCTAAGTTTCCCTGGGAAAGTAATAGCAAAGTCACACTAGAGATTTGCACACCCCTAACAGCATTACTCACAACAGTGCAAAGGTGGGAGTAACCCAACTGTCTATCAACATAGGAATGGATAAACAAAATGTGCTATATGCATACAATGGAGCATCATTCAGCCTGGAAAAGGAAGGAAATTCTGACACATAAGGGCAAACACTGTATGATTCCACTGATGGGAGGTACTTAGAGCAGTCACATTCATAGAGACAGAAAGTGGAGTGGTGGTTGCCAGGGGCTGAGCAGGGATGGGGGAGCCAGGAGTTAGTGTTTAATGGGGACAGAGTTTCCATCTGGGAAGATAAAAATGTTCTGGAGGTGGAAGATGGTGATGATTGCACAGCAATGTGAATGTACTTAATGTCACTGAGCTGCACACTTAAAATGGTTAAAATAGTTAAGTTTTATGTATTTTACATTTTAACACAATATTTTAAAAAACTGACTAGGGGTGGAAGCATTAGGGAGAATGCCCTGCAAAAACCCTTTCCTCCTGACTATATATGCTTTTATGATAAGAGATTTTTAAAATTTACTTTTGAAGAATGGAACTCTTTAAGAAGAGACCATTCAAGGAA